ACCTTTCATTTGTAGGGTGGGGAATGAGGCTGGCTGCTTCCACAAAGATTGATAGCGTCTTGGAAACCCTAACGAGCAGTTTCAGCTCTGCCCTGTGCGGTCACCGTGAATCGGAATTCCATGGACAGTGGTGGTTGCAAGGCATTGCTCAGAGTACACGCTGAGAAAATGTTCCTTAAACAGAAACACGCAGAGCGAGAGCGAGCTGGCCTTGCTGGTGTCGGTTATGTGCTGGACTGTGGACTGCTAGGTCACCCATTTGAACCACCAATTGCTTCAAGAGAGAAAGAGGAGACTGTTTATATATATATATGTATTTGTGTGTCGATATACACATCTATATATGTATGTGGAAAGCCTTTAATTGTGTATGTCTACATATATATGCAAAACAGTTGAAATCTATGAATCTATATGGGGAGAAGTTTCTATATTGCTCATGACCAAAAAAGCAAGCTTCTGAGACTCACATTGCCCCCAGGCTGACAAACACAAAAAAATAGTCCAGTTGTCTTTCACTCTCTCTTTATCTTGGTAAAGAGCATGTGAATTCGCCTTATATCTGCCATCTCTCCCCAGCATGATTCCTTCTCAAAATCCCTGTTGTCTCATACAATTAACTTTTAAGCACTATTGCATAAATAAGCCCATGATAATTAAGGTATTTTCCCTATAGACTAAGTAAAATTATATTGTGGGGCTGACGGTGAAACAACCATCAATTGTTTATATGTACCATATATACTTGAGTATAAGCTGACCAGAATATCAGCCAAGGCACCTAATTTCACCACAAAATCTGCATTTAAAAATGTGCTGAAAAGCTGGGCTTATACACGAGTATATGTGGTAAATTCTGGTTGAAGCTGAAGAAAATCAAAATAAGTCCATGAAAGCCAAAATACGACCTTGAGCCTAACCTGAGTCTCAAGAACTTTTCAAGAGCAGTTTCATTGATGTAACACATTGGACACTAATCACAGGAGACCTGATGAGCCGTGGGAGGCCATCAAGATGCTGTGCATGAAGAAAGCCAAAAGCCACGAAAAAGACGGGAAAGAATGAGAAGATCAGAGTGGGTGTCAGAAGAGGCTTTGAAACTTGCTCTTAATAAAGAAACCGAAAGAAAACAAGTCAAAGAGCTGAACAGAACGTTTCAAAGGGTAGCTTGAGAAGACAAAGTAAGAAGTTAGGGTGAAATTTTGTGCAAAGACCTAGAATTAGAAAAGCAAAATGGAGGAATGACACTTCACTTTTGGCTTGAACTTAAATATTGTTACCCTAACAGACTCGGTTACCAATCTTTTCATATTCCTAATAAATTGCTAGCAAAGGACATGTTTGAGAAAGTCGAGGGTTGGCAAAAAGGAGAGACACCATCCAGGAGAGAGACTGACAGCGTGGTTACAACAAGGGGCTCAAACTCACCAACGCTTTTGAGGCTAACACAGGACTGGCCCACCCTGGATTCTGTTCTAGACAAGCTCACCAGGAGCTGATCCGAGAGCCTCTGACAGCATCATCTCTGAAGTGAGTGGGAGAACTGGGTAACTTAAAACACATTTAATCACACCTCCAGTTCCACTCATTGGGGTTTCATTGATTGCTCATGTGAGACTCTGAAGAATACATAAAACACCGGGCAGGACATGGTCAGTGGTGATGATGGCTGAAGGATTATATGCACTATTGTGCAGCCTCCTTCCCTTCCCTAAACAAAGTTGAAGAAGGCAAATGCCACAATGTTAGATCCTTGGGAAAATTTCCTTGCAATAATTTGGCCTTTGGGGACCACTTAGCTGTAGAAAAGATGAGTTATATTCTTCTACCCATCCAGTCTTGGATCTTCCCTCGGCCCAATCCTTGTAGAAAATTCGCCTTCATACTACGTAGGGACCACTACCATTGTTTTCCCTGGGTGGAATCATTTGTTCCTTAAGTACTGTAAAGAAGTAATTTAGGTTACACCACCAGCAGCAGTGGCCACCGAGTTGGTTCTGATCGAGGACCCCCTGGGTGTCCAAGTGTAACTGCACAGCCAAGTATTTTCAGTGGTTGCTTTCTTGGGAAGTAGAGTGCCAGCCCGGCCTTTCCTCAGAGGTGTGTGCAAGTGGGCTCAAATCTTCCCGTCGGCAGCCGAAGCATTGCCACCGCTCAGGGACTCCCGGTGAAGCAACACGCCTGCATATGTCTTCTGCTGCAACATCGATGCTAAAAGGCCCACCTGTGAATTTCCAGGATCGCTGCTCCAGAGCCCCCATGATTTCTATCACGGGCTGGGGTGCTCACACGTTAGCGTCAGCCACATCATCTGGGGATCTTGTTCAGATGAAGATTCTGATTCAGGAGGTGGGGCCTGAAATTCTGAACGAATAATACAGTGTTTAATGCTACTGATACCAGGACATTGGAGTGAGGAGGAATCCTCTGTCCTAAAAAGTAGCACTCCAACAGGAATTGCCGAGAACGTGATTGATGAAGTCTAGTCCCGATGGAGAGCAGAGTGTGTTTGGGTTATAGGACAGGGCTCACACACCTGAAATGGGACACCTCTCTTGGCCGCTTTAGTCCAGTCACGTGGTGGTTGGTCTGCGAATGACCTCCATCACCGTAATCAAAGCTGACTAGGCTCCTCCTATTAGAAGCAACTAAGAAACCTGCACCCAAGTATATTCTGTTAGATAAAACTGCTTAAAGTGTTAGTGGGACCTCCCCCCTCCACCCCCCGAATCCTGGGAGATCACATGCAAAATTTCTGAGACACTTTTGATGTTTTCGTAACTAGTGTGCTATGCTGATTGAGAAACCAGAAAATTCTCTGGGAGTGAGCTGCTCAGCATCAAGTAGACTAGAAAGTGCCTTTGCTGTTGTGTTCTCAGGCACTTGTGGGTCAGTCTCCTGGTGCCAGTGGTGAAAAAGCCACGGGTGCCTCCCGGGAGGGGCAAAGGCCCACGTGCTAAGGGACTGCAAAGGAATCCTTGCTGTCTTCTCTTCAGCATATGCTCCTCCGGGAGTGCTGCTTGCGCATATTTGAAAGTAATAATAATTTAGAAAAATACTCCTCCTGAAATGCCTGATTTTAAAAAACCAGAATTTACTGATTTTTAAAGTATTGAAACAAACTGAAAACTGCACACCAGCAGCCTCGCTATCTCATTCTGTCGAAAATGTCAATTAGGAGGCTGTGGAATTGGGAACGGCAGTGTGCTGTAATGACATTAGCGCCAGCAATTAAAATGGTTGTCTTCTCAGGAGTGCTAAATAGATGGAGGGTTTCTTCAGCCAACTCGTCCCAACTGTTGTTTCTCAGGCTTCACGTTCAATCATCTTCCAAGGGCTGCCAAGCCTGCCTCTGTAGAGCGTCTGCAGTCAATTTCCAATACTCCATTCTTTCTGCAATTACGCTCTCGTAGGCCCTCATCTTCTTTCACCAAGCCATTACGAGAACTTGCTAAATGGTTTCTACAGCTCCAGATGCATCTCAAATCTGTCTCTTGCCACTGGAGCCTGTCTGTGTAAAACTCAGATTCCATCACCCAATTCCCTTCTCTGAAGGCCAGTGTTAACTCGGCATTGCTTACAAGATGAACTGGAACTTTTGGCTTAGCCTCAATCTTGTGGTGTCCTTTCTCTTTTTAATACCACCACCACCCCCCAGTTCCCTACACTGCTTGCATCAGGTGCTTGGACATTTTATTAACCACACCGTGTATTGTCTAATGTGTTCACCTTTGCTTATGCTAAGCCCTCTGCCCAGAGTGAGTTTTTCTATCATTTCTCTATCATGAAATTCCTGATTATTTTCATTCAAGAATAAAATGAAAGGAAAGGTTCTTGAGCCTCCATGCCCCCAAAGAAGCACCTTCCTTTGCATTCCCAGAACACCTGGCACAAGCATACTACTTGTTGACGTTGCGGACTTCATCATTGGACTAAACGTTCTGAAAGGGATGTCTGTTTCATCCATCCTTTTCCACCCCAGGCCTCTAGCTGCCCTTTAATACTCCCCAAACAAACCCACCACCATTGAGTCGATCCAACTCACAGGTCCCTGAGAGTTTCTGAGACTGTGAATCTTCATGTGACCAAACAGGCTCATGTTTCTCCTGAAAAGCTGTGAATGAGTCTGAGCCTCGGTCCTTATGGTCGGCAGCCCAACAGTTAGCCCATTGCCCCACCAGGATTCCTTTATCCTACAATCCCAAACTTACAAACAAAACAACCCCAAACTCACTTCCATCAAGTGGATTCTGGCACATGGTGGTCCCTTAGGGCAGAGGAGCGCTACCCACGGGGCTTATGAGTCTTCCCGGGAGCGGAAAGCCTCCTCTTGCTCCAGCAGAGCAGCTGGTGGGCTCACTTCCGACCTTGCAGTGGACAAGCCAATGTGTAACCACTCTGCCATCAAGGCTTCTTCCTTTGCCCTAGAGAGATGAGAGATGCTTAATATTTCTTGAAGGCTGGGAGGTAGAATGGAAGGACAGGTAGATGGACAAATACAAGAAAGAGAGAGCTTTAAGCTGCTAATACCAAGGGCCACAGTTCAAAATCACCAGCCATTCCATGGGAGAAGGATACAACTTTCTACTCCCAGAAAGAGTACAGTCTCGGAAATCCAGTGGGGCAATTCTACCTTGCCCTACACAGGGCCGCTTTGAGTTGGCATCCTCTCAATGGCATTGAATTTTGGTTTTGCTTTTGGTGTGGAATGAATTATTAGCTTATGTTTCATGTACACGGATATGCATGCATCTGTATATGTGTACATATGTGTGCATATACGTGAATCTATATAGCCATATCCAAATCTCTGCACGTGATACACACAAATAGTCAAGCGTATATGAAACACATTTATTGTGGCTCTAAACTTAGGAATGTCTCCTACATATTAGATGATGTGTAGTAATAGTTGCACCCAATAACTTAACGTTTTAAAGGGCTGGTATTTTCTGATTTTGCTTGAACTTAATTGTGTACTTTTCCCCCTTATTCTATAGAATGATGGAAGACTTCGTCTTGTGGCCAATTCAATGGTGTGGGTTCCAGAAGGCGGGATGCTGCAGATTACCAACAGAATCTTACAGGCGGAAGCGCCACGTGCCAGTGCCTCAGACATCGTCTACAAAATCACACCAGACTATCCCCAGTTTGGTAATTGTTTCCCTTTGACACAATTTCATCCTTGCAATTAGCCATCTTAGCCTAGTATGGCATTTGTATGTGCCCAACAGCACCATTGTGATTCCAGTGAGCTTAGCGCTCCATACCTCACTGGGTAATCATGTTCTCACATTGCATGTGTACATATAAAACCATTGGATTTAAATTGCCAAAGTACATCATAGATTAAAAAACGGAAGGAATGTTTCTTGTGAAAAGTAACCTGGCTACATGGGAGCTTCAAAGAGCTGGTGGGAAAATTCCATTATCTTTTCATTCCATTTTCCATGAACTTTGAAGCCCCCGTGTATATATCAGCTTTTCTGGAGATCAGGTTTTAATCGCACCTTGGGTCCATCCCAGAACAACACGAGCCTTCTTCTTGGTGAGACTATTCTAAAAATTATCTAAAATGTTCTTCGAGATGGTCGTTGTGGTTTGCACTTTCAGCAAGAGTGGACTAACATAACCTTAGAGTCTCTTTCCACCATCACCAAAAATACTGGAGACAATTCAACAGAAATTACCACGGGTTCCTAACTGACCTCTTTGTGACTGGGAGGAAGTCTCCTGGTGCGGGAAACTAAAAGGGACTGATCCAAAGCTTCAGATGTGCCTGAGCTGCTGCATAACTTCCCTGAAGAAGGTGTGTGTGTGTCTCCTTAACACAGGCTTGGGACGTAGGAAGAGAGTAGAGAGAGAGTGGGGGAGTAAGGTCCTGTGTAAAGCCAGGACACTGGAAGACATACCTTCAGTTAGAGGGACAGAATCAGAGTCCACTGGGATGGCGAGATGGTGAAGAAACCAGCCTGACTTTGCTTTTGGTTCACACAGAGGTCATATAGTCTTTGTTGAGAACCCAGAACTTGGGGCCTAGTACAGTCTCAGACCTAGAGTTGACTTTCACACTATGTGAGTGGTATGAGAGAACCAGCCCATGGGTGACATATTGTTATGTAAATGAATCACCTTGGTATGCGAGTACCAGGCAGAAATGATTAGAAACCTCTGTGAAAGATCTCCCCCCTAAGCTAGGCCATACAGATGAAACCTCCCTGAAGATTAACTCAGAATTTAAAATTACAGGCATTTAAAGAAACAATTACCATGACCAAATAAACAGCAGGATTAAAATGTCAAGAATTTCAAATAAAGGCACAGCCTCATAGAGACGATGAAGTAAGCATATGTCAAAGAAACGGAAGCTGTAGGAAAGAGCAAATGCTTTAAAATAGTGAATGAACAAATAGATTCTTAAAAAAGAGCAAATACATCATCCAAAATGAAAATCATAATTATCAAAAGTAGCAATTCACTTGGCACATTAACTCGCAGAAGTAAAACATTTTTTTGACAAATTTAAAGTTAAATATTTTCTGTAATGAACGAACTTTTGTACAAGATGCAAATTAAAGTAATGTCCAATAAGCACAGAGATGAGTATGGATATTGCTGCTATTATGGTTGACATCCAGTCGAGTTGTCAGGCATGATTCACTGTAACCACGTAACTCTTAAGCAGCCAACGTACCCCCTTGGGTCACAAGTTTCCTTGAGAGGTTCAATCCAAACCCAAACCTACGCCATCAAGTTGATTTGAATTTACAGTGACCTTATGGAGTAGAACATCTGCTGAGGGTTTCCAAGGCTGCACGTCTTTAAGAAGCAGACTGTTGTGTCTTTCTGCCTTGTGGCAATTTGTGGAGTCAAACTGCTAACTTAGCTGTTAGCAACCCAATGTGTAGCTCACTAGACCAGTAGGACGAGGTAAATTTTTAAAAATTTAAGTATACTGGAAAATTGCAAAAATGGTATAGGGGTCTTCTAAATACCCTTTACCCAACTTCCCCTAACATCAGACACATACATACGGCATGCATGTCATCACACATAACAATAGCACGATGTTTGAAACCAGGAAGTGAGCGTTCGTATTGCAACCACTATTAGTTAATCCACGCGCTTTATTCAGTGTTTCCAGTTTTCCCAGTAATGTCCCTTTTCCAACCCGATCCAGGATTGCACGTTGCGTTTAAATGTGGTACCCCCTCTGCTGTCTCCATCTGTGGTAGCTCCTCATGCCTCCTGTGGCCTAGACATCCCTCGATTTGGATTTGTCTGATGATTTCTTTTCATTAGTGTATGGTCAGACTTTTTGGCAAGTCCATACAGAAATGATATTGTGCCCTTGCTCAGTACATCATCATTATCAGGAGGTACGTGATATCACTGTGTCCATGTTCAAGTGACGTTCACGTTGGTTAACAGATTTCTCATGACTGTTGTTCCATTTGCAATTAATAAACATCTTTTTTCCCACCTACTTTCAACCACTCAGTTTAAGCTAGATATTTTTTAAGTCCTTTAAACTATGAATATCTTGGCTCTTTTGATGGATAAAAATTCTCTGCCATTATATTGCTAATTAAAAGTCAAAGTAAGCTCTATGATTTCTTAGAGACAGCCACTATGTATTAAACATAACAGTCCTAATTTAAATGGTTTTTAAGTACACGTGAGTGTCCCATTTCAACTTGATAAATGCCATGTAGGCTTGATTATGACCCCTATTTGCTATAACTCTCTTAATTAACTTCTTCATATAAATATAATCCTCTTTCTTGGTCTCCATAACTCCCTATTACTGATAATCAGAAAACATCACCCTTAGGAACCATTCAAGAGTAAAAAAGAAATGGTGAAAAATAGAAGACATTGCAAATCCACGAACGTCTCTCTCTCCCAGTGATGAGAATTTCATTTAGGATGTTCAAGTTGGGCTGTGTGTGAAGAACCGACCTTGGCACAGAACTAGGTGTAAATTGCTTATATAGTAGCACCAAAGGGCCTGAGCTCAACCATTTGCAGACTCACCATTGTTTATAAAACTTAAATTTGAGTAAGTTGATGGATCCGTGTGCCCTTAACCACTTCAACGGCTTGATGGTAAATTTAATGAGGTGGTTGAGTGTCATTTATGGGAGACTCTGACTTAATCCAGCACACTGCCAACTCTAAATTATTTAGCCTACCTTAAGAAAGCTTTGATACAGGTCATATCAACCCAGAAATAAACCATGGAGATTCAAATTTGATTCTAATTCTTAATCCCACCAAAACGCATGTTGTCCTGTGTGTTACAGAGTAGAACTGCACTGTAGGGGGTTCTGGGCTGTAATCCTTATCAAAGTAGATCAAGGGGCCTCCCTTTGGTGACCCTGTTGGGTAAACTTGGACCACCAGCCTTGAGTTAGTGATTGAGTGCAAATAGTTTGTACTGCCCAAGGACCTGCCATTTTTAATATCTATTGTATTTTTCTTTCAGAAGTCTTGGTTAAGCTATAGAATACATTATAAAGGAACTCCCAACTAGAGATTGCTTTCCATTTTTAAAATCTAGACTTTTACATATTTACAGTGCCATCCCATGGGATGGGTCATATTATGGTAAAAGCAGAGGTGAGACCCTACACAAATGTTTCCACCCTACCTGATAGGGCTCTCTGTCTACTCAAGGCGTCACAGAGGCACCTTCTATTCGAAACGCCCAATGCAGAACTGGTCATGTGCCCTCCAGGCTGCCCATCCTTCGCTCTCAGGCCCATTGCTGGGAATCACCTCTCTATCAGCCACCATCACTTCTCTACTAAGAAGTGATTCTTCTAGATTCTTCTTTCTCACCACAGCCACCTTTGTCAATTTTGGTTGCGCTTACTGCTTCAGTGATTTTTTTCTTTTTTATTTAATAAATGATTTTATTGGGAGCTCTTACGTATAACAATCCACACATCTAGTATATCAAGGAGACATGTACAGCTGTTGCCATTAACAACCTCCAAACACTATCCCTCCTCCTGAGCCCCTTGATATCAGCAGCTCTTTTTTTTTTTTTGCCTCAGTGATTTTTGTCTGTTCATTTTCTCCCAATTTTATTTCTATTCCCTTGATCCGTTTTTCATTTGGGTTCTGCAGAAATGTTTTAATTGCTCAAAATATCTATATAAATGTTAGCTACTATTGTAGTTCTTATAAAATCTAGCCTCTTTAATAGGCCTTTTAAGCCCTCTCCATCCCCGCCACTAGATGCCACTGAGATCATTCCTTTCCAGGGCGATGCCATGCCATGTATGTCCTGGTGGAAATGTGCTTCCTGGGGTTCTCAAGAGCTGAGATTTCAGAGGTAGATGACCAGAACTTTCTGTCAGATGCACCTTGGGTAGGTTGGAACTGGCAGCCTCTAGGGAAGTAGTCTGGCACCAACCATGTGTAGCACATAAGGATGGCTTAGAGACTTACAGATATTTTAGTATGATCACACAGTTCTATATTCTAAGTGAGTTCATGTGATTTACCTCCTTAAAATCTTTCCATTGCTGATGAGAAGGGTAGTTTCATCTCCTTAGCATGACATTAAAGCCTTTCAGTCTGACTCCATCTTACTCCTTCCAAATAGCTTCTCCATCCATTTCCCCTCCTCAGCTAACCGTTTCGTTTATTACTTCTTATCTGGTCCATTAGACCCTGATCTTCAGCAAGAGGATGAGATCTTTCCTATCTGATTTCTCCACTCTGGAAAGACCTAGCATAATAATTACCACCTAACACATATCCCATGACAATTTGAGTTGAAATTAACGGAACAAGTATCTTATGACTCATGTTAATCTGTAAAACATGGAAGTGATTTTTTAAAAAATCCTAAGTTTATCTCACTAGGTCTTTTTGGGGAAAATGGTTTAGCTTTTCTGTTATAAAGCATACTACATATTAGGCATTTTGATAGTTCCTATTATTCCAGTTTGCATATTCATTGTAAACATCTCCTTTCAGAATATTTCACAATTGTACTTTCCTAAACTGTCTGCATGCTGGAAAACCATGTTTATGAACAGCAGCTTCAAGTGGGTGGCTTTACCCTACAGGCATTTCGTTCGCACAGTCAATGTTCGGTGTGCCAGCGGGAAGGCAAGGCTTTCTCTCCGTCGCTCTGGAGGAAGGTCCTGGTCTCTTGTGCTTCTGCCTCCTCGTTTCTTGGAGAGCTCCACGTAGCTTTGCATCCACCTCACCCCACATCTGCCCTGCTGGTTTCCAGAATCTCTTTGATATTTCAAAATGAATGGACTCAAGACACACCCTACGCTAGTCCTGCGTCATTAATGTAATGAAGACAACTCATTCCTAAATTAAGAGTATGACCATGAATGTCAGGCTAAGGATTTATAGTATATAACTTTGGGCGACATAATTAAATTCATAACATTTCACACTTTTAGCAAAAGAGAAATTATGCTCTTGACATGTGCAAACCACATTTGCCCCATCCCATTGTCCCCAAAGTCTGGAATCAACTCCAAATCCAAAGCCTCATCTTCTAAATAAAATATTGGTGAGGTTTTAGGTGTATTCTCCCCTGGGACAATTCTCTTTATACAGAGCCTGTCAAATCTAGAATGCAAGTTACCTGTTTCCAAATCCCAGTAGTGGAACAGGTACAAGGTAGAAATCACCTTTACAAATGGAAGAAATTGGAGGGAGAAAAGGGATGAGGGGCACCAAGCAAGAAGTTGTTGTTAGGTACCATTGAGTCAGTTGTCCCATAGCGACCTTATGCACAACAGAAGGAAACACTGCCCGCTCCCCCACCGTCCTCACAGTTCTTCCTCTGCGTGGACCCATTATTGCGTCCACTGCATCAGTCCATCCCTCTAAGGGCCTCTCTCTTTTTCACTGCCCCTCCGCGTTACCAAACATGATAGATATCCTTCCCCAGGGACTGGCCTCTCCTGACATTTCCAAAGTATGTAAAATAAAGTCTTGCCATCCTTGCCTCGAAGGAGCACTCTGGCCATGTTTTTTCCACGATCGATCAGTTTGTCCTTTCAGCAGTTCAGAAAGTTCAGTATTCTTCTCCAGCACCACAATTCAAATGCTTCAGCCTTCTTTATTCAGTGTCCAATTTTGACATGCCTATGAGCCAACTGACTATGAGACACCTTCAAACTCTTCCAGCCTGTACTCGTCACCCAGTTCCAGAAACTGCATGCACGTTTTCAATATCTGTTAGAGCAGCACCCACTCTTCTAGTACCGAATTCTACCTTAGTTTTCTAGCGTTGCTGTAATTCACCACAGGTCAATGGTTGGAACACACAGAAATGTGTTTGTAGACGTCTGAATTCAGAGGGCTGACTCCAGGGGAAACCTTTCTCCCTCTGATGGCTCAGAAGGAAGGTCTTCTCTTGCTTCCGCTTCCGCGGAGATCTCCACTTGACGATGGTGCGTCTCTCTGACTCCATCTCTGCTGGGTTGTTTCATCTCTTCTGTCTCAAGAGAGGTTATCCCAGATGTACCCTCCACTAACCCTACCTCATTTAACATGACAGAGACAACCGATTCCCAAATGAGATTGTCTCCACAGGCACAGAAGTTAGGGTCCTGCAATCCATAATAGACTGGTAATCGAATTTGTGACTTAGGTACAAATGGGCCATACCGTAAGAATGAAATCAAGGTGAGCTGATTCAGCACATGGTTATATAAAGGGAATTCTAGCGTTTAGCAGTCAGTTGTCCACTGTGTCTGTTATATTAAGATCTGAGTACGCGTCTACCAAATATTTGAAAAATTCCGTCTCCCCTGTGCTTGTGCACACATGCACTCCCTCTTGCTGTGTGAGTAGGCAGGAGGCTGCTCCCCATTCTATTTTTAGCTGCATTTTTTGAGAGAACATGGCTTCTGTTTTCGGCAGCTCATCCATTCTTCTATTTGGTCTTCATTATCCTCCTTGTGAAATTTAAGTTTTTTTAAACACCCTCCGTGTATGTGATCTCACTTAAAGAAGATAGAAGCTTCAGATGAAGAAGAAGCATTAGAAGCAAATTGTTGCTGTATAGTTTTGGGTTTCTTCATTTCAGTTCTAATAACAGTTAAAGAACAGGGAAGATAAAACCACAAGGAGTCAGTTAGCAGGGTCAGTACTGATTTCAACTCATTACCGGGAATGATGGGCACCAGAGCGTCACAACCAAGGATGTGACCGTCATTGCTGGATCCCAGCCTGTCTGCCTCCCATTGTGTGACCCTGGGCTTCTCTGAGTCCAAAGAACTCTCTATTAGATGGAGATGATAATAAAATCCTTCAGATGGATTAAAACACATAATGATAAGGGTAACCAACATTCTTAATAAGACCCTATGAGGTAGGTACTATTCTTCTTGTTTACAAATGAGCCTAGTAGGCTCCATGAGTTTTGGTGGTGCAGTGGTTAAAGCCCTTGCACATGAACAGGTTAGCAATTTGAACCTACCACCTGCTGTGTGGGAGGAAGATGTGCCATCTGTTTCTGGGATGATTACAGCAGTTGGAAACCCTGTGGGGCAGGTCTGCTCTGCCCTACTGGGTCCCTATGAGTCAGAATTGACTGGATGATCTTAGGTTTTTGCCTTTAGGGCTTAAGGAAGCTCACAGAGGGGAGGAGCTCAGTTTGAACCACCTTGTAAAGTGCTTTGAACATGTCAGGCGTATACATGTAAATGTTAGCATTTATTTTTATTGGATAGAATTCTCCGAACAATAATATCTTCTGATTTTTTTTTCTAATTTTGTCTTGCATTTATACCAAAACTTCCCCGGCTGTACAGCATTTTCTGTTATACAAAAAGTTGTAGCTAGAAATTAATGTCTTCAATGGCTGCTACTGGAATATTTTATTGACAGTGTTCACTACTGTTTGCGTCTTTATCCATGAATTGCCTTTGAATGACTTGTAGCTCTTTTAGCCATGAGATTGGGAATTCTGTGTCTAAAGATGGATTCAGTAATACCTACGGAATTCTGTGTTAACTTTCTTCCTACTCACCTTACATCAAAATAAAGGAAGACCATCTTTTTATACCATAAAGTGCATGCGTTCTCCCTTTCTTGGCCAACCACACCCTCTCGCCGTGCCCTGTTCCCGTAAGCACGCTATGCCAATTGTTGTATATGCTGTAACAAGTCAGCAGAGCTCTCCAGGCCGGAACTGCCTGGGGGAGATGAGTGGGGGCTATCTCGCCACGAATAAGTACAGAAGACATATGTGGTCTGTCTGAAAACATGGTATGGCATTTCTTTCGGACAGATGGTTGGAGAGATGGAAGGATGAGGGTAGGTTGGTGGAAGGGAGGAGAATGACTAGTTTCTTTTTCCCAGAGATCCTTACTAACTGTGTGGTCTGTGCTCTCCTAGGGGAGGTGGTCCTTCTGCTTAATATGCCCGCAGACAGTCCAGCAGATGAAGGACGGCACCTGCCAGATGGGAGGACAGCAACCCCCACAAGCACCTTTACCCAGCGAAACATCAATGAAGGCATCGTGTGGTATAGGCACTCGGGGGCCCCAACTCAAAGCGACTCCTTCCGCTTTCAGGTACTGTCTGCTTCCTGACCTTCCTGATGCCTGGGCTTTCTGATGGAAACCACCACCCCTATTTATATTCTGAACGAGCTTTGGAGTCCTGTTTGGGGGAAGGCAAATCGAATTAATAGCATTGAGAGGGGTTTTTTTTATCTGTCAGTTTAGATTTACAGATATATCCACCAACGGTCATTGCATAGCAAAGAGGTTTAGGTTAGATGATGGCTAGAAGATTCAGGGGAAAAAATGTACTTCAAAATACAAAAGGACCATAGAGAAGGAAAAAATAACACACCTTTCTCCCCCCAAATATTTTAGAAATATTTAAAAGATATGATTAGATTATAGACTTAACAGCCAAACTCAGTGAGCTCTGATCTGCCACCGAGTTAGCTACACATTTGGGGGCACATAGGCTAAGTTTTTTATGCCCCTCATCTTCAGAATAGAATTATTCTGAGAGTGCCATGAGCTAACATACTTAGAAGGGGTTTCCAACATAGTAAGTACTATTATGATTACTACTCTTATTATTTAAAAAAATAAGTGCTGGGTGGAAAAGAGATCTTCAATACATCAAAGGGCAAAAGTATACCAGGTATGTTCGCAGGCCACTCTGAAACATTTCTTGTTGTCAACTGCATCAAGCCAGCCAGCCCTCAGCGCGTGGTGGCTGCCTGCACAGTGGCTCAAAATACAGCCCAGTCCTACACCATCCTTTGGATCAATTGTGGATGAGACCATTTTGGTTCCTATGGTTTTCATGAGCTGATCTTCATAAGTAAATCACTCGGCCTTTTCCACTAGTCTGTCTGAGCCTGGAAGCTCCCCTGAAACGTGTTCCATATCATAGCAGTGCACAAGCCTCCACTGCCAGATGGCTGGTGGCTATCCGTGTGATGTACTTGGTTGAGAACGAAGCTCAGGTCTCCGATATGACCAGTGAGAGTTCTAGTGATCCGCCAATCTCCCTTCATGAAAGGTCAATAAACATTAATGGTAAACATTTAAAAAAATTCAATCCGTTTGGATGAAAAAAAAAGTACCCTAAATAATGACTGCAGCAGGACACCGTGTTTGGTGAAACAGAGGGTCAATGAAAATCGCACAACTCCTCCTGAGCTAGATTGATACAATAGCTGCAATCATGGGGGCAAATATGCTAATGATAGTGAGGAGGGCACAGAACTGGGCAGTGTCTCTTCCCGTGCCGCATAAAGCCACCAGGAGTCAGGGTTGATTTGACAGCAGCTTCCAGCAGCAAATAATGGAATGAGCTAGATGTAAATGGAAATCCAAATACCAAATAGCAATATTACAAAATATTGATGAGCGGGAAACAACTTACTGAAACTAAAGTGATGTGGCCAAATTAGTACTCAGAAGAAAATTGATGTCCTTACGCTGTTATTGTTGAGCAGAAAAACATGGCAGTAAGTGGACTACACATTTAGCTGCCGCAGCTCGAGAAGCACATGATAACCGGGGGAAACTAGAGGGAGCACTTGATGGCGCAGAGCAGGGGCCGATTCCTTGTAAACTGCAAGCACTGATCAAGGAGACCAAAACTCGGGTCTTTGAGGGAAAAAAAGAACAGGCAAAATGTCTGGCAGCCACGTTTGGAAGTGAAGGATTAAACAGAGAGGAAAAGGAATGAGAAACCAGGTACAAGAAAGGCCACTTCATTACAGAGAAAGAGGACGATTTGCTGAAATGTGAGAGATAATATCAAGATGCAGTCATAGAATCCAGCCCGAACTTTGTCTTGGCCCTCTGTGCCTGAAACTTTTCCTTTGTGCAAGACTGCAGTGGAGGCTCAACCACAGGGGTGGCTCACCTGGTGACATTCCCATCCGCCCTTGCTCAGGAGACTCCTGTGCACATGCTCACTGTCTGGTTAATCCACATTGTCTAACAGAGGTGTGCTTTTCTAGCTTGAAATAAGTATGGAAGGCATTAAAATGAGATTATCCTGAGCACATCCGATGAATGAGCAAACACTGGGTGCCCTTTGCCCAAGCTCACGTTTTCATCTTGAGCACCTGCAGACTGCAGCCGTGCTGGAGAAAGAAGTGGAAATCGAAGCAGAGACCCCAATCAGAAGAAGTCACCTCAGACAGCTAGACTTCTCTGACGTGCCCTTTGCCTTCCTAGGGGTCAAGACAGAGAACGTTATCAATATGGAGGCATTTCCCTGGAAGAGAATTGCAAGCACCTGCTCCAAATAATATTTGATTGCTTTTGCAAGTTGGTTATTTAAGTGGGCAACGGTAAAATAGCAAAGGTTATTGATTTTTTTTACAGACTCACTAGAGACTCACAAGACATCTAGTTGAACATTATTACTTAGTAGTTCCCTTTGGAGAGACTTGATATTTCCTTAGAATATGATTAGAATTCCTCCTCGAAATGGATGTCAAAGCCCATGGAATATTCTTTAGAATGTCTTCAAGGGTGGCAGTATTTCATCCTTTGGAAGTGGACTTGATTTTTGAAAAAAGCTAAAAGTCATTTAGGATCTTGTCTGCTAAGAAAAATAGAGGTTAAAAAAAAAGAAAAATAGAGGTAATTATTTTTGGTTAAAAATGTAGTAGTGAGCCCACCCTTTTATGATTTGGGAACTGCTTCGGAAGGCATTCCCAAACCACTGAACAATGTCAGCATCCTGATTGCAAGTATGAGACAACTCTCTGGGATTGTATTCCCTAGGATGTAAAAGTTCTGTTATGTTTGTTTTTAAAGTTATGGTCATTGCTTTATAGGTTTACCTTAAATTTTGATTTGAAACGACATAGGCATTATAGCTCTGTGTTTAAATAAATGGTTACCAATTTTTGCTATTCATCATTTTAGTATCCCCAGAGTTTTAAAATTAAAAAAAAAAGATGCTGTTCTAATGATCTTCCTCTTTCTTCCTTTCTTTTTTTAAAAGCAGGAAATGCAATATAATGAGTTGCATGGATTTAATTTCATTTTAATGTTGATGCACTGCCATAAGCCATCAATGTAGCCCATCTGTTACTTTGCATGTAGGGCGTGGGCTTTCATTAATGTGAGTGGAACATGGCAGAGTTGGCTGAAAGCACATTCTCAGTCATTTTTGGTGTGGGAAGGAGCCCTGGTTTGGGTATATTCAGATCACGTTGACACACGCCTCAGGAGATAAGAAAAAGACCAACATGTCTCTACTTAGGAAGGCAGAACTAATCTTCCCACATGTTGCTTCCTGCTCTTACCTTCTCTGCAACAGAACTCAAAACTCAAAAAAAGCACTGCCTTTGAGTGGTTTCCAACCAATTGTGACCCTAGAGGGCAAGGTAACCTGGCCCTGTAGATTCCCGAGACTAACTCTTTATAGTAATTAAATGACTCATCTTTCTCCCAAGAAGTGGTTGGTGGTTTTGAACTGCTAATCTTGTAGTTATCAGCCCAACTCATAACCACTATGCCACCAGAGCTCCTCTCTGCAAAAGACAAGAGAACTAATAGGCCACCTCTACTAATTCCCAAGCGCTAAGTTGAATAGTTTTGTTCAGTTTCTTTATCTGTAAAACAGGAAGGGCCTCATATATACTTGGTATGCGATCCTTTTAAAAACTCATGCTTGACTAAAGAAAAACAAGCCTTTCAGTGACAAAATGGCAGAAGATCTGAAGCGAAACCTCACCAAAGAAGTTATACAGATTACAGGTAAACATAAAAGTTTGATGCCACATGTCATTAGGGAGTTGCAATTCCAAACAAAAATGGGCTCCTACGACACACCTAGTAGAACGGGCAAACTTCCAATGGCTGACACCACCAAATGCCGGAGAGAATGGTGAGCAACAGGCTGCCGTTCATTGCTGGCGGATCGCACTTCAGAAGACCGGCGAGCAGCTTTCTTAAAAACTAAAAATCGTTTTACGATTCAATCCAGTAATCATGCTCCCAGGTATTTACCCAAAGGAAACATGTCAATATAAAAGCTTATACATAAAGGTTTATAATACCTTAATTTATAATTGCTACAAATTTGAAGCAATGTTGGTGAGGATGAGGGGAAATTTGAACCCATTTCCTTTGCTGCATGAGTTGCTATGGTAAATTGTGGCCATACCTTAGGAATCATAAAATAGAGCTACCAAAGGACCAAGGGATTCCACTCCTAGGTATGTGACCCCAAGTCTGAAAACATTGGCTCACAAGACTGGCATACCAATGTCCACTGCAACCGTATTCACAATATCTAAGAGGGAGAAACAATTTAAATACCCATCAACAGCAGGATGGACAAACACAATGTGGGACGTGCACACACTATAATCCTAAGCCACTAGGATAAATGAGATCCTAAAGGTATTATGCTGATCAAAATAAGTCAGTCACAGAGTCAGCTATTGTTTGACCTCCCTTATATAAAAAGATAAGAAAAGGCCAATGTATAGAAAACAAAATTGATGGTGGGGGTCTCAAACTTTTCTATTGTGTATTAATTCCATTTTCCCACAAATATTTGAAACCCTCTCATATTAGTGGCTAAAAAAAGTGGAGGGGATGGGAGAGAAGGGTTAAGTGTAATTAAAAAATTGCAATATTAAGAATAGATGCAATATAAAGAATAGATTCACAGATGATCATTGCACTTGCTGCCAATAACTTGTATGTCTGCAAAATATTGAATTGGCAAAAGTTGTATGATAGATATATATTTTGTAAATTGCCCCAAAAAGAATAGCTACCAAGGATGCTTATGCACAACCACCAAACACTTCTTGGGATTTGGTTCCTTGGTTTGAGGTCATGGTTTCATGGGACATCCCAACTAATTGGCCTAATTAAATGTTTAGTGCTTCTATGCTACCTCAGTTTGGGGCACAGTGTCAGAGGACTTGAAAGCTGTCAAGCACAACAATTGCTCTATTCGCCTAGAACACCAGAGGAAGTAGCAGAGTCAGGAGTAGGAGGAAAATATGGAATTTGGGTAATTGACTCTATGAACAACTGCTTCCTCTGCCCTCAAACCAGAAGTG